TCTTTCACTTTGCCATGGGAAAAGTGACATGCCATGCCACTCTCCTCTTATAGAGAAGCAGCAAAGCTCCTTCCTTAGTCTGATTTTTCTGGATAATAATTGCTGAGATGGGTCACAGCTGAGCAGAGCCTGTGGAGGAAGCAGGGGGTTGGGGATGTTGCAGGAAGAGGCATTTCGGGTACCTGGATAGGTTGTGCTGTAGAAGAAATGTTTTGGTTCCAGCAAGTCATTTCCTCTCAAAGAGAAACTGAAAATGTTTTAATTTGGGGAATTGCTTGCTTCACACTCGCACAGTTCCTGGGCTTGGGGATGCCGGGGCAGTGTGTGCTCTTTGTTTAGGGGCAATACCCATTGCAGGTTGGGTTTTAAAGACTGAAGCTTCAGTTGGAGCCTTATGGTCACTGAGACTTGCTTGGTGTCTTTTCCTTCCCATCATCTTCCCTCTGATGGTAAAGACTCGCTTGCAGCTTCAGCCTTAACTACATGTTGACCTCTGTCTCACCCACTTAGGTCTGTGTTTGGAGTAAAGCACTGGCTTGAACTGTGGGTTTTATGAGTGCTGATGGCGTTTCTCATAGTGTTTAGGCTTGTTTTGTTTTGTAGCTGCTGAAAACACAGCTGTCCTGGCAAGCCTGATCAGCCTCCAGTTTAATTTTAGGGATCAGCATGTCAAGGGCTTCTTGTGATGGAAGGACTGGAGTTCTGGAGGACTCCCCTGGAGCATCCTCATTTCTCATGCGTAAGCCATGTGATAGCTGTTCTGCAGCGCTGCTGGGGCTGGTTTCCCGAGGCAGGTGAAGTAGGTGCCTTGGGGATGTGAAGAACAGCCCTTGTCCTCCCCTGGGCACTAACTGCTGCTGTGAGCCAGCTTGGTGAGGTGTGCTGGGCTTGACCTTCCTTCCTCACGGTAGGTGACAGCCGCACTGGTGCCAAAAAGCCCTTGCTCCAGCCCTGACCACGTTGTGGTCCTTCTCCATGAAGATCCGAGCCGCTCTTGACCAAGCTGGCACAGCAAGACACCTGTAAGTTGACCTTGCTGTGGGGGTGCAGGAGGTCCTGTGGTGCCATGGAAGCCCCTGGGATGAAGGGTAGGAGGAACATCTGGCCTACATCTGCAGTCCTGGAGGAGTGGAGAGGACAAGTATGATGGGGCTGGTTGGGAGGGTTGGAGAGAGTATTTTGGAGGCTCTGGCTAGGACAGTTGGCGGTGGGTGACCTGCCTCGTGCAGGTAGACTTTGGAGCATCCCTGCTTGCAGGTAAGAAAACACACACGCTTGAGGGTGGCGGGGCAGATGAACTCCTGCGAGCTGTTTTGCCGTGGTTTATTTAGGCTTTGGGATTAGAGGTGCTTGCTGTGGCCTGGATTTGGTGGTGGGAGGTTCTGCATCCACCCAGGTCCACGAGTTCCTCTTGTATCAGTTGGTGGTATCGGGGTGCTGGAAAGTCATGGCTACCCTGTTTGACTGACCCTGGGCTCCCCTTCTGGGGCACGGGTGAGTACCACACCAAGTGTGTTGCTTGGCTGGGAACTTTTTTAGCTGAAAAACAGCCTGGCAAAAATAAATATGGGGTGTCAGAGCCGCTTCCCTGAGCATGGCGTGAGTTGTGCAATAGCCAAGCCTTCTCTGGCCGGCAGGATCTGACCTGGTCGCTGAAGAAATGCTGCTTATTTCCTGGTAAAAGCATATTGTGTTCTCCCTGTCTTTTGTTAGCTGCGGGGAGACCAGGGTGACTGTCTGTCACGTGAATGTGCGGGCTGAACTTTGAGAAAGCGTGCCACCTTCAGAAACGTAAACCCACAAAGGCTTTATCCGAGCTTGTTTGCACAGTGGCATGTCAGATCAGTGACCCTTTGCAAGAATATGCAGAACTGGAGACCTGATGCTTGTTAGTAGACCCATTCTAGGTAGAAAAGGACCCTGGGTTATTCCTGTGCTGCTGGCAGCAGCAAGGCTGGGTGCTGCCCCCCCAAAGAGCATCCGTAAAGACGGCGCTGCTCCGCCGTAACCTGATGAACCTGAAGCTCTGACTTTTGGTGTGGCTGCTTATGCCCAGGCTGAAACCACGACGACCAGGATGCTTGCGGTTGTCCGTGCACTCTTGCCTTATGCAATGAGGATTAACCTAAGTAGGTGGAGAAGTATTTCTTGGCTGGTTAACAACGGGGAGGGGGGTGGTGAGGCTCCTGGAGAAGCTTGCTGACTTCAGGTAGGTGGCGGGAGGGTGGGGAGCAAGGACTGTGCAGCTCATAGCACATGATAATCGTTCACACCGTGATAAACTTACCCTGGATGAAACGGAGCTGAACATGTTTTCCGCTCTCTGCCTGTTGCGTTGCAGCAGCCGTGCAGGAGATCGAGGTTTTGGCTACTCCTTGGGCTGTTGGTCCTGTTTGTGCCCGCAGCTTTAATGGAAGGTGCCAGCCTGCGGACCCGGCTGCGCTGGTGGTGATGCAAACGGCAGCGTGCGTGGGTTGGGTGGGTACAGCACACGCTCACCCCGGCTCTGGGGTGAGTTTTGCAACCCCTCTGGAGAAAATAAAAATTGGTATTTATCCATTCTTCTGCGAAACCACCTGGATCCTCAATAAGGGTGGAGATACTCCGTGTCCGTTCCCGACAACTCAGCACCACGCGCTTTGGTCCTGCACATTCCGTGGCTTTACAGGAGCGCTCATCCCCGATTGCGTTTCTGACGAGAGGCACTGCTGCGTGCTTAACTTATACCGGCTGCTTGAAGGCATCCCAGCCACGGGCTGGGGTGAGGCGGGGATCTCCTGGGGTCAGTCCTGGAATCTGAAGCAATGCCTTCAAGTTAAAACTAGCAGAGAAAATAAACCCAAGCCCCAGCTGGATGCGACCAGCTCGGCAGCGGTGGGTCATGCTGAGTCACGCTGATGAAGCGCCTGCTGGGAATTTCTCTGGGCCATCGTGAAATCCAGCCCCTCCTGAGAAGCATCTGTGGGTTGGGAAGGTACAGGCCCCAATGGGATGGGGTTTGCAAGACCCTTACGTTCCCTCAGTGGGGGCTGAGAGCTGGATTTAAAAACTGTTCTTAAACTCCACCATAATTCAGTGTTGTTGCTGCCTTTAATAGAGGATTTTTTTGGGGCTGTTGGGTTTACTTCCAGCACTGTTCATAGGTTACAAAGCGTTTAGTGCTGTGAAACGGGAAGCTTTGCTCGAGGCCACCAAATTACGTGTTGCAGGGAGATGCCTTGTCATAGCCAGTCTGAAATTCAGCTGCTGAGCTAAGTCACTCTGCAAATGTAATTCCTGTGCAATCTTTCTTAGAATATTTACTACAGACACCATAATTTGCTGGCTTAGCCTCACGAGCTACCTTACTGCTTTCCTAACCTCGTTTTGTTATACTGGGCTGCCTGAATTCAGCCCTGATCTCTTGGTCTCACAGGGTCTATAAGGTACTCTTCAGTTTCTGGTAACTGGAGTGGTTTGGGGAGTCAAAGGGCCAAACCTGAAATATTTATATGGGCTTCATCTTGCCTGAAGGCTTAGCTGTGGTATTGCCTCCTGGCTACTTACCAGAGTGAATTGATAAACTCAAAGGGACGTGTTCCAGTGAGGAAGTGTGGAGGTGGCCTGGGCAATCCAGGCGGATCCAGGCAGTTGGCGGATCACTGCTGAGGACCGAGCTGTCCGTGTCACTTTGCCCACCCGGGCAGCACTGGTGTCTGTACTGCCAAATCGCTTGGGAGAACCTGTTCTGCCGATGGGGTGTCCCGGCTGAGGGGGCGGAAGGCATCCTTCCCATCCAACCCTCCGAACTGTAGTTCTCAAGCTTCTCCTTAAAAGAGCGTTAGTTCAATGGAGGCTCTTCCAGGTTGCTAAACACTTGTCTCCCCTGGCCGTGTCCTTTCTCAAGAGCCTTCCGTGTTTGTGTTTTGAGGCGTGAGGCCACCACCACTGAAGGCTGCATCCCTTCAGACGGGTTTGGGTGAGATGGGTTGTATCAGCCGTGTTGCAGACCGGCAGGACTTAGGGGCTGCTCAGCAGGAGTAGCAGAGCCCTTTGCACCTTGATGCTCTGGATTTGCTCTGTCTTTCTGGGATGATTGTGAAGGTTTAAGCCCTTACAGTGTCTCTCCCATTGCTGGTGGGAGGGGGCTGGTGTCCATGCCCTGCAAACGCCCATGGCAGGTTGGCATCACCGTTGCAAGGGCTTTGAGCGTTGCTGCTGTGCGATGGCTTCAGTCTGCAGAAGCCTGAAACAAGCCAAAAAAAGTAATTTTCCCCATGGTGCCTAATTAAGTGATGGCAGTGAGTTTAATGGGATGCTTTGGGTGCCAGAAGCTCAGCTGCCTTCAGAAATGTGGAAGAAAAGCCTGTCGAGGACTATTGCACAGAGATGCAGTGAACCCATCTAGCTCGGGAAGCTGGTGGCTACAGGAGACCCGGAGATGGGAGGGGAGATGGGGTGAGGGGTGGATCTGTGCTGTCTTCCTTGGGTAGCTGTGAAGGATGGGGTGGCCTTTCCCTGTCTCACCCTCTGCAGAGGGGGTGGTTACTTCAGGCACCCCATTTTTATTAGCCTGCCCTTCTAGGAAAGCTGTTTCCCAATCGAGCGGGCTAAGTCTGCACGCCGAGTGTCAAAAGCTGCTGAGCAACCGTGGGAGAAACAAGCTGGGGCAGAGAGCCGGGAATGTTGTAAGCAAGAGGCAATTAAGGACCTAACTGTATGTCTTCAGCCAGCCTTTTGAAGGACTGCCTTAGCTTAATTCCCAGTCTTTTCCATCCATAAACAAGAGCAGAGGTTACGCTTCCCTCCACTGCGCGCTTGTCTGAGCAGCCTTTGGTGTCGCAAGGGGAGCGTGGGGTTAATCGCACTGCTCTAGCAGGGACAGGGCGGATAAATGCTGCAGTTGGGGAATAAAGTTATTGACCCCTCTGATCTTGGAAGTCTTGTAGCTCCCTATGGCTCGTGCTTGTTGCATTGAAGATGGGTGACTGAGTCCTCTCCGTTCGTGTGCTTTGTTGCAGACAAGGATGCAGAGCTTGCAGCCGGACCCCAAAGCCCAGTACAGGAGCGTGTACGAAGCTCTGAAGAAGATTGTCCTTACGGAGGGTTTCTGGAGGCCTTTACGTGGGATTAATGTCACCATGCTGGGGGCTGGCCCTGCCCACGCCATGTACTTTGCCTGCTATGAAAAAATGAAAAAGTCCCTAAGCGAAACAATCCACCATGGAGGAAACAGCCACTTGGCCAATGGTATTTTTGGTGTTTTTTTGCACACACACAAAGCAGCTTGTGGTCAACAGCCTGTCCCTTGTTTGCTGCACTCCCTGAGCCTGGCATCCTTCGCTGTGCCCTGCTCCTGGGTGGTCTGTAGCAGATGGAGCTGTGGATACCTGCATGATGCAAATGTAGGGCTTGCAGGTCTCGGCACCCATTTTGGGAGTGCTGGAGAGGTGGAGTAAGGGCTTCGTGCTGGTCACCACACTCCTCTGAAACCTCTGCCCTGCCTTAGGGCTCCTGACTGCTCGGTAGGTCTCTTCCAGAGGGTGCTGAGCTGATACTGGAGGTGTTCGCTGTAGTCACGGCTGGGCATGGAGTCAGTGCTGTGCAGCGGGGCTCTGAAGTATGTGGCTTCTTCAAGGGGGCTCTTCTGACCCATGGGGGAAGGTAGGGAACCTGATGACCTGCCCACTGAGCAGGAGGTTAGATGTACCACTCCAGGAACTGAGCATTTGCCTGCCTTGCCTGAGCGGATGCTGTGACGGATGCCGGCTGTGAAAGGGAAGCTGTGCTTGGAGCCAACTGCCAGGCTTTGCTGCACCCTGGGCCACCCAGGTCACACGTGGCTGGGCTGGCAGCAGGACAGAGAAGCCCTGATGGCACTGCCGTGTGCACCCTCCAAAGCCCTGCCTAGATTTCCGCACTATTTAATCACAGATTATTCTAGCACAAGGAATCAATACGTTGGACTCGAGGTGCTTGGGCACAGTCGCAGGCTGGTTCTGGCTCTATGTCGAATCTAAACCTCTCGAGGTTTGCAGTGCAGGTTGTTCCTCGTCTCCCTTGGAGCTCCAGCGGGGTAAAGTGCACTGCGTCCTCTGGATGCTCGCCTGCTTTGTTAAAGGTTTTGCTCCTACCAGGAAGGATGTTGCTTCTAGGTCCAGCAATACCACTGTAAAACCCTCGAACTGAGCAGCCGAGGGTTTGTGTGGAGACTCTTCTGCCTGGTCCTTGACATGATACGCCGGTAGGAATCTGTCACGGCAGTCACTGGACTCAACCAACTCAGTTAAGGGTGTATAATATCTTTCAGGCTTGCTGGTTTTTGCTAGTAATAGGCTTCCTGTGTTTGCCTTTCAAGTAGCTACAGGCTCTCAGTACAGCGGGAAAACTGAAGCGCTGCCTTAATGAGAAATGACCGAAAGTCATTTGGGCAAGAGAGAATTTGAGATGGAAACCTACTTCAAAGGCAAAGGTGTGGCTCGAGAGGCCCATCCTAGAGCCAACTGCAGGATCATTAATGGCTGGCTGGATGTTTACAGAATCTGTGCAATTAGTCTTTAAAACAAGACTGAGTAAACGGATGAAAATGCCTAATTATGGATGCGCTAAGCCAGTTCTAAAGGTTGCTCACGTCTCAGCCCAGCACAGGCTGAGTGAAGCCGGTGGTGTCTTGCAGACACACAACCTTATGAGTTATAGGGAATAGCAAAGGGGATGGCTGTGATCCTGGATGGGTTTTTTCCTGCTGGGAATGAGCTGTCTTGCAAAGTGCATCCTTGGGCTCGCTCCGGAGCCAGACAACAGCTCTCAGGTGGTGGTTACCTGGGTGCTTGGCGGGGTGCAGGCCTCTGCGGATGGTGCTGCCCCAGCAAGCCCCTGCCTTCTGAGCCTTTGGGTTCTGAAGGATGCTCTTGTCTCTTGCAGGTATCGCTGGGAGCGTGGCCACGCTACTCCACGACGCAGTGATGAAGCCTGCTGAAGGTAATGACCTCTGCTGCTGGGCAGTTCTGCACCCCGTTAGCCTGGGAATGCACCGAAGACCCCTGCACAGTCTCAGCTGCTTAAGCCCTGTGCTTTAGTGTCTCTGCCCAGCTTTTAGTGAGCTCAGACGGGATAAGTTCTGCCTGGCCCCTTATGTGCCAAGGGGTTGCACAGCCTCTGTGTGGCACATAGTGCCTTTCCAGGAAAATTGATGTCACCTTTAATACAATGCTGTTACTGCTCTGCTAGTGTGTCTTTACTGAACTGATTGTGGGGTTTCTGAAGCTTTGGACTACCCAAACAAAACAGAACTCAGTCATGTTGCTAGACGAGTACAGCAGCCGTTGGGACTGTTGCGTAGCCTTCCCGGTTTGGTAGAGTCTGTGGAAGAGGAGTAACTGAAACAAACTAAAATGAAGACAATTAGCTGAACTCCAGCTATTCAGTGTTCATGTATTGTACTTCCGAGTTGGCCCACAGTCAGTTTTTTCTGAAGGGAAAAATGTCTCTAGTGTTTCAAATTCTTCTAATCGTATTCTGATTTAATTAGGTGGCTTTTTGCTCAAGTCAGTGGAAGTTGTCCCATTTCTGGACTTGGGACTGTTGATGAGGTAGTTATTTAGTCAGCTTTCTGCCCATATCCTCCTGGTATGTCAGTGTTCCTGCACAACATCTGTGCGTTCTCACCGAGGCATCTGAGGGTCCTTAGCAGTCTGTCTTCATGCCTTTCTAGCAATAAGTAAAGGGTCCTTAATTAAGCTTGAGGAGTGCGGTAGGCTGTGTAAGGGGAGAGCTAGTGAACCAGGGCTGAGCCTCCCTCCCTTGCACTGAGGTTTTTTGGGGGCCCTGGGCATGTTGGGGGAAGCAGAGGATGCTAAGAGCCTGTCGATAAGGAGCTCATCCCTGCAGAAATGTCCGGTTGATGTTGTTTGAGCTTGGCCTTGGATGGGGAGGTTAGGGGTGGGTGGTTGGGACTTGCAGCAGGGTTCAGTCTGGGTGTTGTGATGACCGGGAAAGATGCATCTTGGCTAATAAGTCTGTTTCCTTGTGCCTGTCCTGCCTGGTGCTGCCTGCTCTGTGGCTGTTGCCTGGACCAGTGGTCAAGCAGCGGATGCAGATGTTCAATTCCCCCTACAAGTCCGTCCTGACGTGCATAAGGACAGTGCAGAAGACGGAGGGGTTCGGTGCCTTCTACCGCAGCTACACCACCCAGCTCACCATGAACGTCCCCTTCCAGGCCATTCACTTCATCACCTACGAGTTCATGCAGGAGCAGATCAACCCGCACCGGGAGTACAACCCTCGGTCTCACATC